AGTTCCAGCCTCCTAGCATGGGCCGTTCCTGAAAACGCTTTCCCGCCAAAAAAACTTTCACGTGCCTCTACATGAGAACCACGCGGACCTGAGCGTCCATTTTGAGGATACGAGCCCGCACGTATGTGCAGATTAAATTTTCAGCCTTGTAGCTTTTGTGGATCTCGAGATGAAAACTCGTTACAGACGCTCACACAGACACAGACACACAGACACACACACATACATACACACAGACAACTCCTCGACAATATGCGTTTTTGCATTGCATAGCTGCAAAAAACGCATAATAAAGGAAGTTTTGGCAAACAAAAAAAGATATTTAAAGGAAGTTTCATAATGAAAAACAAAAAATGAAGAGAGTTTCATAGCAAAAATAGAACCTAAAAAACAGTTCATAACAAATATGAAGTGAGTTTTGGCTTTAAAAGATCTAAAAACAGTTTGTCTCGAATTGTGTGTGTGTTTACTTTCAGATATGCCAAGTATGCCAACAGGCATGCGCATCACGTTACGTATATACGCAGATTACGCTACTGGAGATTTTCCCACGCCTTAGCTCGTTTGGTAAAACGCAAAATTTGGCAGCGGAGGACGAGGAGGCAAATAAATTTGACGTGGATCCAGTGCCACTGTTCAATCATGCACTCAACATGACCGCCAAACATCCACCCGCATTTTTTACGATTGGCCTACTGGTACTTGACCGACCGACGCAACTGCAACCGAAACTTGGCCGTTTCTTTGCACTGATTCAGCAGCAATTGCAAATTGCAACAAGCAAGTCAGTTTTTTCCTTCTATTTTTGCGATTTTTTTATGTTGTCATTATTTAGTGAACGAATCGTAGAAGAATTGGTTATCTCATTGGCGAACTTTCGGCCTTAAATATAACGGAAGTTAGAGGATTTTGGAAATTTGCTTAAAATTCAAAACCTTCCCCCTAAAACTGACTCAAAAATCCGTAAATTTTGCTCAGAATTTTTAGGCTGATGGATTGTTTGAAATCGATTCAGAAATTATGCTATGCTCACTAGCGAACGAGGAGAATGATTTAGAAATAACTGTTAAGTGTTAGATGATACTTTTTTTGTGATCGATATTTTTCCAAACTTCCCCCCTGCAAAAACACTTTTTTCAGGCACAGACCAGTG